TCCAACAGATGGCTTAAGGCCATGAAATCTGAGATAGGATCCATGTATGAGAACAAAGTATGGACTTTGGTGGACTTGCCCGATGATCGGCAAGCCATTGAGAATAAATGGATCTTCAAGAAGAAGATTGACGCTGATGGTCATGTCACTATTTACAAAGCTCGACTTGTCACAAAAGTGTTTTCTATAAGTTCAAGGAGTTGACTACGATGAGACTTTCTCACCCGTAGCGATGCTTAAGTCTGTCCAAATCATGTTAGCAATTGCCACATTTTATGATTATGAAATCTAGGAAATGGATGTCAAAACTGCATTCCTTAACGGACTTCTTAAAGAAGAGTTGTATATGATGCAACCAGAAGGTTTTGTCGATCCTAAAGGTGCTAACAAAGTGTACAAGCTCCAGCGATCCATCTATGGACTGGTGCAAGCATCTCGGAGTTGGAATATACGCTTTGATGAGGTGATCAAAGCATATGGTTTTATACAGACTTATGGTGAAGACTGTATTTACAAAAAGTAAGTGGGAGCTCTGTAGCATTTCTGATATTATATGTGGATGACATATTGTTGATTGGAAATGATGTAGAATTTCTAGATAGCATAAAAGGATATTTGAATAAAAGTTTTTCAATGAAAGACCTCGGTGAAGCTGCTTACATATTGGGCATCAAGATCTATAGAGATAGATCATGCTTGATAAGACTTTCAATGAGTACATACCTTGACAAGATTTTGAAGGAGTTCAAAATGGATCAGTCAAATAAGGAGTTCTTGCATGTATTGTAAGGTGTGAAGTTGAGTAAAGACTCAAAACCCGACCACGGCAGAAGATAAAGAGAGAATGAAAGTCATTTCCTATGCCTCAGCCATAGGTTCTATAAAGTATGACATGCTGTGTACCAAACCTGTTGTGTACCTTGCCATAAGTTTGGCAAGGGGGTCCAATAGTGATATAGGACTAGATCACTGGACATCGGTCAAAATTATCCTTAGTTACCTTAAAGAGGACTAAAGAAATGTTTCTCGGTTATGGAGGTGATAAAGAGTTCGCCATAAAGAGTTACGTCGATGCAAGCTTTGACACTGATCTAGATGACTCTAAGTCTCAATCTAGATACGTATTGAACGTAGGAGAAATTAGCTAGAGTAGCTCTTCTCTCACAAGCAAAACATGATCACACCTTAGTACTCTTTGGGTGTTAATCACATAGCGATGTGAACTAGATTATTGACTCTAGTAAACCCTTTGGGTGTTGGTCACATGGCAATGTTAACTATGGGTGTTAATCACATAAAGATGTGAACTATTGGTGTTAAATCACATGGTAGTGTGAACTATATTATTGACTCTAGTGCAAGTGGGAGACTGAAGGAAATATGCCCTAGAGGAAATAATAAAGTTGTTATTTTATATTTCCTTATATCATGATAAATGTTTATTATTCATGCTAAGAATTGTATTAACCGGAAACTTGATACATATGTGGATGCATAGACAAAACACAGTGTCCCTAGTAAGCCTCTACTAGACTAGCTCGTTAATCAAAGATGGTTAAGTTTCCTAACCATACACGTGTGTTGTCATTTGATGAACGTGATCACATCATTAGGAGAATGATGTGATGGACAAGACCCACCCGTTAGCTTGGCATATTGATCATTCAGTTTTATTGCTATTGCTTTCTTCATGTCAAATACATATTCCTTCGACTATGAGATTATGCAACTCCCGGATACCAGAGGAATACCTTGTGTGCTATCTAATGTCACAACGTAACTGGGTGATTATATAGTTTCTCTATAGGTATCTCCAAAGGTGTTTGTTGGGTAGGCATAAATCGAGATTAGGATTTGTCACTCCGAGTATCGGAGAGGTATCTCTGGGCCCTCTCGGTAATGCACATCATAAGAAGCCTTGCAAGCAACGTGACTAATGATTTAGTTGCAGGATGATGTATTACGGAAAGAGTAAAGAGACTTGCCGGTAACAAGATTGAACTAGGTATGAAGATACCGACGATCAAATCTCGGGTAAGTAACACACCGATGACAAAGGGAATAACATATGTTGTCATTACGGTTCAACCGATAAAGATCTTTGTAGAATATGTAGGAACCAATATGAGCATCCAGGTTCCGCTGTTGGTTATTGACCAGAGAGGTGTCTTGGTCATGTCTACATAGTTCTCGAACCCGTAGGGTCCGCACGCTTAACGTTCGATGACGCTTTAGTATTATATGAGTTATGTGATTTGGTGACCGAATGTTGTTCGGAGTCCCGGATGAGATCACAGACAAGACGACGAGTCTCGAAATGGTCGAGAGGTAAAGATTGATATATAGGATGATAGTATTCGGGCACTGGAAGTGTTCCGGATTGTATCGGGATATTTATCGGAGTACCGGGGGGTTACGGGAACCCCGAGGGAAAGATATGTGCCATATGGGCCATGAGAGGGGAGCACACCAGCCCACAAGGGGTGACGCGCCCCCCTATGGAAGTTGGCTGAATTGGAAAAGGAAGGGGGGGTTCGCCCCCTTCCTTTCTCTCTTCTCCCTTCCCTTTTCCCCCTCCAGTAAAAAGGGAAGGGGGGAGGCCGAATTGGGAAGGACCCCAAGTAGGATTCCTATATATATGTGTGTGTGTGGGGGGGTACCGCTAGAACACACACCAACAATTGCTAGCTGTGTGTTGCGCCCCCTCCACAGTTTACACCTCCAGTCATATCTTTGTAGTGCTTAGGCGAAGCCCTGCGCGGATCACTTCACCATCACCGTCATCACGCCGTCATGCTGACGGAACTCATCTTCTTCCTCGACACCTTTGCTGAATCAAGAGGATGAGGGACGTCATCGAGCTGAACGTGCGTAGAACTCGGAGGTGCCGTACGTTCGGTGCTTGATCGGTCGGATCTAGAAGAAGTTCGACTACATCAATCGCATTGTCAAACGCTTCCGCTTTTGGTCTACGAGGGTACGTGGACACACTCTCCCCCTCTCGTTGCTATGCATCTCCTAGATAGATCTTGCGTGAGCGTAGGATATTTTTTAAAATTGCATGCTACGTTTCCCAACACATTTTTCATGTGATGTTGTAGTTTATGATGTTC